GGCGGGGGGGCCAATCCCCCGGCTATGATCCCGTTGCCGGTCCCGGTCCGGTACGGGGGCGACACTGAGGGTTGCAATCCGTTGCCGGACACGGAAAAAAGACAAAAAAAAAAAAAACTGGGAAAAAAATATCTTTTCCAAAAAAGTAAAATTATTTTGTAACTCAAATATTAGATTATAAATGGTTGATTTGACTCTGTTTTAGGTAATTAAAGTTTCCTTTTTTCTTTTTTGGGAAATAGGTCATAGCAAATGACAGAAGTCCCTTGGTGGGTAAAATTCACTGGGAGAAAATGGTAAAAAAGGTGTCAAGATTTGGAATACGTACAGGCACTTTTAACTGTTCCAGTGATCCCAGGTAAGTTGATTAGGCAATTCTTAGAATTTGAATGCTGATCAGGATCTTTCTTGTTTAATAAAGACAATGATATTAGAAGCCTGCTTGAGCTGAAAGCTAATTACAATGTTTAGCACACTGTTAGTTACACAGGTGCTTTTGGTAAACTGGCAGTTGCTGACTTTCTCTTTGAGATCTTCCTCCGTTCTTTGTCTCTGGTTCTTCTGTGATCTTTCTATTGGGGGTATTTCTCAAGAGTATTCTTCAGTACTTTTTGTTTTGATTTTCTTTTCCAAAGAGATCTCAGCACATTCATGGCTTTAGGTGACATCTCTTTGCTAATTTACATCTTTTTTTGTAATTCTGACCTCTAGTTTGCATTTCTCTGCTCATTTCTATGTGCTCTACAGCTATCACTAGATACATTGTTTTTCCCTAAAACTATATAGTGTTCAAAATTAAGATTCATCCTCTTTTTCTTTAATCAACTATGTTTTCCTACTACCTTTCCTGTTTTGTTTTGTTTTCCATTTTCTCAAACAGGAATCCTCAGAAGTATCTTTTTTTTTTGGTCATCTTCAGTATTCTGTCTGTTACATTATTTCTTGTTTTACTATAACATTATTTCTTCGAAATGCTTTTTATTTCCATTTCCAGTGCCACCAAATTATAACTTATAGTCATTCATTCACTTAATTATCTATTTGATTAATATTTAATAAAAGATTAGCATGTACAGCATGTTTTGTTTTGTGCTGAGAAGGAGGCATATGATATATATGTAGAAAAACCCACAATATTAGGTAGTTTTTAATGTAGGTAGATATGCCTGACTTACCTATGCCCTTTATATGTGCTGGCAATAGTGGACAACACATTGGTACTAGAAAACCCTCCTAAACCATTGCTACAACTCCTTTCCCTTTGCTCCGCATTTACTTCTCTTCTCACAAGCCTCGTTTGCCCACTAGTAATAGGGTGAGATCTATGGTAGTAGCTCTCCTAAAAATCTGAGGTAGGAAGAGAAGTTCCTGTATCCCTTAACTCACATTTAGTCTCCTTATCAACCCACAAAGCTCCCATTCTTATCTACCACAGAATCTTGCTCCCATCTTAGTGTCTGTTGTTGAAATGTCCAAGACAGCCTAAGTCTTAATGTTCTTATGAAAAGGAAATTATTCTTATTTCCATCCTCTGTTTACCAAAGACCTTAGCATTTGGTCTGATTTCATCAATTCCCAAATACAGGCTAAGTGCAAAATTTTTCTCCCCCTACTGATGATTGCAACACCAGAACAAATTAATAGTGCTGATATTTTGATATTTTTTTAGATAATCCCAAAAGTCAATATTAATATCACTATTTTATTTTTTTTATTTTTTTATTTTTTTTCCTTTTTGTCTTTTTTACTGACCGGTAACGGGATCGCAACCCTCGGTGTCGTGCCTGTACTGGGGACCGGCAACGGGATCGCAACCCTCGGTGTTGCGCCCGCACCACGCTCAGCCAGTGAGCGGGAACCGGTCTCCACATGGGATCCGAACCCTCGGCGGGAGCGCCACCACACTCCCAAGCGGCGCACTCTCCAGTGCGCCACCGGGCCGGCCCTTAATATCACTATTTTATTGAAAAATATTCAGAATTCATTTTCAAACACTGTAGTTTATAAATATATTGGAAGATAGCAAGTAAAAGCAAATTTTTAAAAATATAAAGGTTAAACATATTGCAGTCTAATATAAGTTGTTAGATAACATTAATACAGAAAAAATAAACTAAGCACAACATAAAATGAAGACAATCTATTAAAAATGAAAAACTGAAAGAAATAGTAGTTTTTTTTAGTTGAAAGAATAGTTGTTTTTTTTAGTGTAATCTTTTTTTTTTCTTTTTTTCCTTTTTGTCTTTTTTCATGACCGGCAACGGATCGCAACCCTCAGTGTCGCACCCGTACCGGACCGGGACCGGCAACGGGATCGCAACCCTTGGTGTCACGCCCGCACCTCGCTCAGCCAGTGAGCGGCTGGTCTGTATGTGGGATCCGACCCCTCGGCGGCTCCCGCCGCGCTTTCAAGCGGCGCACTGTAGCAGTGCGCCACCGGGCCGGCCCTAGTGTAATCTTATAGAACAAAATGCATCAAAAGTGTGTCCTAATTCAGTCCAGTAAATTTTGGCACAAAATTTTTCTAGCTTTTCTTCTGAAAAGCTCTTTCTGATTCCATACTAGGTGAGAAATGGTGAAGACATACATATAAGGTACCTCCAGATATTTTCCTCTAAATTATTTATATTCATTTTCAAATAATGCCACCTCTTATTTATGATTAAAGACATCTTTTTTTAAGTAACTTTTTGCTTTTTTGTTGGTTGCAGCTATAATTTTTCATTAAAGAAGCACTTCTCATCTTTAGTTTCAACACGGAGATAATTTTGATGCACAGTAACTTGTAACAGTTTCTATATTGTTGTGTTCATGTCTCCTCATGTGGAAAATCTTCCAACTGGAGTGCGAACTGTTCTTGCCATAGAAGCTGTATTTAGTCAGGGTCATTTTTTTCTTTTTTTGATAGCTATGGAGGTACAAAAGAACAAAATACAGAGTTAGAGAAAAGGGTGTTCAGAATTTTAATGAAGGGTGTAACTGAGCAGAGAATAGTTATTCAGGAAGTGTTTTAATCATATATTGAGTAGTTGAGTCATCATCTGGATCTCAAATTTTTAAAAAATGCCAGAACTCTGAACTCTGCTGTCTGTACTGCTGTCTTTGTAGTTCCTTATCTGGGTGGCCTCTGGGGCAGCCTCCTGTGATATTGTTGGTCCTGTTGTACAGCTGTGCCTTCCTGACCTGTTTAGCTCTCCTGAGAAGGTTCAGGACCACCATTCTGGGCAGCTTCTGACCCTGTCCAGCTGTAGCAGTTTTAATTTCTTTCCCTGTATACCCAGTAGGGGTGGCCTTGCCTGGCTCTACCTCCTCTTGTTCTCCAACCAGGAGATCTATTTCAGGGAGCTTTTCCTGCCTGCCAGGTCCATGATCTGTTCTTTTTTTTTTTCTAAAGTAGGAGGTGATGTGGTATTTGTGTGTGTATCTACAAAGAGTTGAAGAGGGTGGGGAGTAGTAAAAAGGAGATGGAGGACATGGGAGTTGCAGGAACTGAGCGATAAACGGGCTAGGAAAGCTTATGGTTGGAATATCAGGGTTGGGGGCGGATGGAATAAGCAGGGGAGGGGAAGGGAAGGAGGGAATGGAGAGAGCCCCAGGAAAGCCAAGGAGGACAGCGACCTCATCTGAAGAAACCGCATTATATAAACAGAAATAGCAAGGTTTCTTTTTAAATATAGTATGCCGCACTAGAAACTGGAATACCAATACTCACTAGCCAAGTTTTCTATCATTTTCAGTCTTAAAATTCTCTGAGAACTCAAAAGCTTTAAGAACTAGAGTATATTTTCATGGTATTGTCATTTAATTTATTCAGACCTTTTAAATAGTTTTTTTTTAATCGGCAGTAAAAGTTTTTATATTGATGTAAGGTAATACATTATTCTTAAAAAGAAGTATATACATTCGTCTTCATTTCTGTTTAGCAGAGGAGTTTTAAAATTAATATGGTTTATTATGTTTGTGTTCTGGATTTCTTTAGACCAGTGTTTAGATAAATATATATTAGTAGCCTCTTGTTTTGTAAGTATTATAGATTTTTTTCAAGTCTGGAAATGTGATTTAATTTGAAAGATATAATGATGAGATATGGAATTTTCTTCTCTTGGGTACTCTCAAACTACATATGGGGGCTAGCCAGTTAGCTTAGTTGGTTAGAGCGCACTGTTGTAACACCAATGTCAAGGGTTCAGATCCCCATACTGGCCAGCTGCCAAAAAAAAAAAAAAAAAAAAATCTAGAATGATAAACCTTAAATATCACTTAGCTCTGAACTAAAAAGAAAGCACACAAAATGTTTGTTTTCTTACATGAAGAAGTGTATACACTAAGATCTTACCCACTTTACAGAATAAGGTTTTCTGTCAGAAAGACTTATTTAATTTATGACAAATCAGAAGCCAGGGTAGTTATAGGTGGATAAAAAGAATGACCAAGAGTAGAAATGTGTCATGGCAGGTATCATATGTAATTAAAACAGTAAAGGTACTTGAAGATATTTAAGATATAAATAAGGCAATTATCTATATGGTGTGACTTGCTTTTTTTTTGGTGAGGGTAAAAATAGAATTCATGTCAATGAATTGTTTTGCATTGGACAAATACAGTGTTAAGGGATAGAAAATACTTTTTTGTAGGAATATATACTTTTCAAACCATTTCAGTTAAAACAACATTGATATTAATGGAATCTATGTTAAGGAAGTGAATCAACTCAACAAGAAGCTAAGAGTCATGGCCTGTGATTCAGAGTTACGCAGATAGTTACCCAGCATCATTACTGTGTCTGTAAGACGTAACATGTTGTCTTCACTCGTCTTAAATTATATCACAAAATTTTTGAGATAAAACTAGTCGTCATTATAATACCATATACCACATATGTCAAGACTGCTCTTTCTTCATCTGATCACATGAATGTGTAATACGCTTGTTTAATTTAGTGAAATATAATCCATGCTTACTAAGTAAAACATAACATCTATGATTTTCACATCAATATTCTGAGTAGAAAAATAAGAAATTAAATGTTTATTACTATCCATTTGGAAATTTGTGCAGAACAAAATGTATCCACATGGTAGATTCTTTTTTTTTTTTTTTTTTTTAAAGATGACCGGTAAGGGGATCTTAACCCTTGTCTTGGTATTGTCAGCACCACGCTCAGCCAGTGAGCGAACCCTATATAGGATCCGAACCCGGGGCCTTGGTGTTATCAGCACCGCACTCTCCCGAGTGAGCCATGGTCCAGCCCCACATGGTAGATTTTCCTTTTTACAACTTTATTGAAGTAAATTTTACATATAAAATTCCACAAGGCAGGTTTTTGGGAGGAAAAAAAGAACTTTTAAAAGAAAAAGGAAAATATTTTCACTTGTACTCCACTGTAATACAACAGTTGTTTTCAGTTTTTCAGTATTTCTTTTCATTTGTCACCTAGTTCTTTAGGGCAAAATGGATATCACAAATTTTATTTCAAGAATCTGTCAGGCCGGCCCGTGGCTCACTTGGTAGAGTGCGGTGCTGATAACACCAAGGCCACGGGTTCGGATCCTATATAGGGATGGCCGGTTTGCTCACTGGCTGAGCGTGGTGCTGACAACACCAGGCCAAGGGTTGAGATCCCCTTACCGGTCATCCTTTAAAAAAAAAAAAAAAAAAAAAAAAATCCATTTCCAAAAGGAGTAGAGTCAGGACCCTATTGGATAAATCCAACCAAATGACTTTATATTCACTCTGCTGCAGAATGGGAATCATTTTTGGAGTGAATCTCTTACTCTGAATGCTTTGTCTTTGTTTCCTTTGTTAAGTACTCCTCTTTGTGGTCTTCCTTGAAGAGATAAGAGAATACAAAAAACAGGCTTGCAGTTGGTCTTTTCTAGTTTAGCTTTTGTACAGGTTACTTTGTCTAAGAGCGCCTGTGTGGGTAAGGCATTGTGGTATGGGCTTGAGTAAATAAATGGGTACAGCATGGCTCCTTCTCTTAAAGAGCTTACACCAAATCAGGGGCACAGTGTGTAGAATAATCTGTTTACTTCTCTCTTGTCCATCCATCTGAATTCTAACCATTCTTCAAGACCTAGTTCAATTCCCAAACCTTTCATGAAACTTTTACTAGCTGAAACTCCCAATGATATTCCCTTTCTTTGAGCTTCATTTGCATTATTAGCAATAAAATATATATAGTTTTATATTTCTGTTTTGTCTCTTTAATAGGATTTTAAATTTCTTGTGGGCAGAAATTATTTTCCTGTTAATCTTTTGGATCTTATCAGCACATAATGCAATAGTAGGTACATAAGAAATGCTGACGTATTTCCTGATTCCCTTGACTCAAAGCTTTTCAAAATACACCTTTGAAAAAAAAATAAAGGAAGAAAGAAATATGAAACCAACTACAAAAAAAGAGCTTGCTTTTTCCTTTTGCACAACTGTCAAGTGTTGGTACCATTTTTTTATTATTTGGAGGTTATTTGGTTTGGGGGAGAGAAATACTAAAGAATTTCATCAGGGGAGGATAAATTGCACAGCAGCCTAGCTGTTTATTCACAGTTTACTCTCTTACAGATACTGCAGGAGAAGAGGCTGGGTAAGATCCACACTCATTATGTCTGTTCCACAAACAAGTACTTCTAAAGGGAAAGTTATGCTTAAAGAATACAGTGGACGCAAGATTGAAGTAGAGCACATTTTTAAGTGGATAACTGCTCATGCAGCTTCTCGGATTAAAACCATTTATAATGCTGAACGTTTGAAAGAAGAATGGAATAAAAGTGATCAATATTGGGTAAAAATATACCTATTTGCAAACCTTGACCAACCCCCAGCTTTCTTTTCTGCACTAAGTATAAAGTTTACTGGAAGAGTTGAGTTTATTTTTGTTAATGTGGAAAATTGGGACAACAAGAGTTATATGACAGATATTGGTATATATAACATGCCATCATACATACTTAGAACTCCTGAAGGAATCTACAGATATGGAAACCACACAGGTGAATTTATATCCCTTCAGGCCATGGATTCATTTTTGCGCTCATTACAACCTGAAGTGAATGATCTGTTTGTTTTGAGCTTGGTTCTAGTTAATCTTATGGCTTGGATGGACTTATTTATTACACAAGGAGCTACCATCAAGCGATTTGTGGTTCTCATAAGCACTTTAGGGACATATAATTCTCTGTTAATTATTTCCTGGCTACCTGTGTTGGGCTTTTTACAGCTACCTTACTTAGATAGCTTTTATGAATATAGCTTAAAATTGTTGAGATATTCCAATACAACCACACTGGCATCATGGGTGAGGGCAGACTGGATGTTTTATTCTTCTCACCCGGCCCTGTTTCTCAGTACATACCTTGGACATGGCTTACTAATTGATTACTTTGAGAAGAAGAGACGGCGTAACAACAACAATGATGAAGTCAATGCCAATAACTTAGAATGGTTATCAAGTCTGTGGGACTGGTACACCAGCTACCTCTTCCACCCGATTGCTTCTTTTCAGAACTTTCCTGTAGAATCTGATTGGGACGAAGACCCCGACTTATTCTTAGAACGGTTAGCTTTCCCTGACCTTTGGCTTCACCCTCTGATACCAACTGATTATATAAAAAACTTACCAATGTGGCGGTTTAAATGTCTTGGAGTCCAGTCTGAAGAGGAAATGTCGGAGGGTTCTCAAGATATTGAAAATGACTCAGACAGTGAGAACACAGATACTTTTAGCAGTGAGAAGGAAGTATTTGAAGATAAACAAAGCATAGTTCACAATTCTCCAGGAGGAGCAAGTCACTGTGATGCTGAGGCTTGTTCATGTGCCAATAAATATTGTCAGACCAGCCCATATGAAAGGAAGGGGAGGTCATTTGGATTGTATAATACTAATGAAGATATGGAACCTGATTGGTTAGCTTGGCCTGCTGATATGCTGCACTGTACTGAATGTGTTGTTTGCCTAGAGAATTTTGAAAATGGATGTTTGCTAATGGGATTGCCTTGTGGTCATGTGTTTCACCAGAATTGCATTGTGATGTGGTTGGCTGGGGGCCGACACTGTTGCCCTGTTTGCCGGTGGCCTTCTTATAAAAAAAAGCAGCCATATGCACAGCACCAGCCCTTGTCAAATGATGTTCCATCTTAACCATGTGCAATTTGTCCTTTATAAGCTTTGAGTACCTTACAGCTTGCCTTTTTAATGTTAGTCACAATGTTTTTGTGGTTTGAAGTTTAGTTTAATGTTAGTGCTGTGACAGGAAATACACATTATGCTAATGTTGATGACAGAATTTATTTGGTTGCCTTGTGTGTCAATTGAATGCATACTTAATTATAAAAATTTTTATTTACAACATTGGAAATTCAGAAGTTAATGTTTTTTGTAAGCACAAAAGAAGTATAATAGAAATTTATCCTAGCAAGACTTTATAAGGTAGGATCAAATTGTAATGGAATTGAGCTGGTTTCTTATCCTAAATGTTTCTTCCCTTTTTACAATCTCTGCCCAGAACCTCTTGGTTAAATAATGTATGCTTTGAAACATGAAATTAAAACAGACCTATGAAATAAATTATTTTAAAACCAGAAGATTACAGATTTTCCAATGTTAAATTGTTTTTGATAAGGTAGCTGAATGTTGTAGGTGTTTTGCTGATTTGTTGATTTTACAGGTAAGTCAAACAAGATTCTTAACTCCTATGGGAAAAAAAAAAAGAAGAAATTATGTTGCTGACACTGGCTAGAGGTGATGTCAGTCCACCTTTTAACTTGGTTAGCTTTGATGGAAAAGAATTTCATGGTGGACTTTTTTTTTAAGTATTAAATAATTTATTAGTATTTAGCACATTCATCTAAATAAAAGCAACTACAGTATATCAGCCACACATAGATTTTTTTTTCTTAACTTTTTATTTTGAAAAAAAATTTTTTTGGGCCGGCCCGGTGGCGCACTCGGTTGAGTGCGGCACTTGGGAGCGCAGTGGTGCTCCCGCTGAGGGTTCAGATCCCGTGTAGAGACCGGTCTGCTCACTGGCTGAGCGCAGTGCGGGCGCGACACTGAGGGTTGCGATCCCGTTACCGGTCACAAAAAAAGACAAAAAAAAATTTTTTTTTTTTTTGACCAGTAAGGGGATTGCAACCCTCGGCACGGTGTGGTCCGCACCACGCTCAGCCAGTGAGCGCACCGGCCATCCCTATATAGGATCCAAACCCGTGGCCTTGGCACTACCAGCACCACGCTCTCCGAGTGAGCCATGGGGCCGGCCCTTTATTTTGAAAATTTTTTAAACAACAGAAAAGTTGTAAATATAGTACAATGAGCATCCATTTCTCTTTACCTAATTCACCATATGTTCACATTTTGTTGTATTTGCTTTATCTCCTCTATGTGTGTAGTCATCTTTTGTCTCTTTCATTTTTGCTGATCTCTTTGAAAATTAAATTTCGGTCATCTTGTATCACACATCTCCTAAGAATAAGGACATTCTCTTACATAACCACAATACCATTGTCACACCCAAGAAATTTAACACTGATTCAGTAATATCTAATATATAATCTGTACTCCCTAATGGCTCCCAAATATAAATATCCTTTATATGTTTTTGTTTTGTTTTTATTGTGAACTCAGACCTAAGTTTCTTTCAGTCTCCTTTCTTTCGTCCTTCTCTCTAGAGCAATTCTCCTTTTCTGATACTAACATTTTTGAAGAGTACGGGCCACTTGGCTTATAGAATGCTTTACATGCTGGATTTGTCTGAGTGTTTCTTTCATGATTAGATTTAAGTTCAAGAATATTGCCTAGATGATATGTACTTCCCATTTGTATGACATCAAGCAGCACATGATGTCATTCCGTTATTGGTGATGCTAAGTTTGTTAAAGTGATATCTGCCTTACCTTCTATTATAAGATACTTTTTCACTTTTATAATTAATAAGGAACCTGCGAGACATTAAATATCCTGTTCCTCAATAATCTTTAATTCAATGGTTTAAACATTCATCGATGATTCTTTGCATCAATCAGTTATTAAATAGGAGTTGCAATATGGGGATTTTCTAATTCCATCCTTTGTATTACATTTATTAGCTGCCATTTTTTTGTAAAGAGCTTTCCATTTTTCTTCACACTTTGAATATCACTGTGACTCACAGATTCTTTTTGTATTCTATGTGTTAAAATTCATTATTCTTTTTGATGTTCAAATTGTCCCAAATTTAGCTGTGGGGAGTCCTTCTAAGCCAGCTCTTATGTCCTATTGACATGTTCCTTTAATTTGGAAGGACTTTGCTTTTTGACACAAGGTGTTCCAGGTTCACTTTGTTTTCCCTGGTCCAGCCTTGTGATCAGCCATTTCTTCACAGTGCCCAAGTTTTCATGGTGGACTTTTAAAATCTTTAATTGACTGCCCCCCCAAACAGAAAATTATCTCATTCTGAATTGCTGCTAAATTACTAATAGAAACTTTTTTTCCTCCATGGTACATTGTGCCTGGTTTTCAGACTAATGGAAATAGTAAGGTCTAGCAGTTAACAAGCTTTGTGTTAATATCTGGAAGCTTAAAAATACGTAACAGTGCAAGTGCTAGTTGTGCTCTAATTTTCCTTTTGAAAAAGTAATCATATGTAAAAGTGTTTCCCAGGATTCTGCCATTGATCCATTCTTTTCTGTCATGTTTTCAGTGAATGTCCCCAAATCTACATGTCCAAGCAAAGACCTCTCAGTCAGTTTTGTATACAGTTTTGTATATAGTTATCTGCTGGACATCTCGTCTTGGATGCTTTTAAGGACTTAGTATGTCTAAAACAGCTTTTCATCCTCTCTCCCTACTCCCAATCCTGTTAAGGTCCTGATTTCAGTTAACAGGATATATATATGTATATATATGTTTGTGTGTATATATGTGTGTTTGTGTATACACACATTACACACAAGAGGGTACTTCAAAAAGTTCATGGAACGATGAAAGATAATACATATCTTTCCATGAACTTTTTGAAGTACCCTCCTATATATGTGTATTATTATAAATTGTACAGAAAAGGATAGAAATTTTAAAAGGTAATTAAAAATTCTCAAGCATTCCAGGGTACACCATACTTTGGAGACCACTAGTCTGGAAACTAAACCAGTCTCCTTAACACTGGTTTTCAAGGCCCTTCATAATCTGCTCCTGGCCTACCTTAGACTCATCATGACGCTTCATAATGCTTGTGTCCCAGGCCCATGTTCCAGCTTTTCGCAGCTTGGTGCTTTGCTATCTTCTCTACCTGGTATTCTCACCTCTTCCTCTCTGCTTTCCCTGGGTAGATCCCACTTTCTCTAGAAGTTCTGCACCTTCTTTACCCTCCTTTCCTTCCTCATCAGGCTTATAAAGGGTAAAAGATATCTATACAATAGACACTCAGGTAAATGTCACCATAATCAAGTGATCAAACTTAGCATCACCAACAATGGAGCACGCTGTGACCTTCTGTATACCGGTGATACCTTGTACATGCCTGTCATACTTACTGCATTGAATTAAAACCTTGCATGTGTCTTTTTTCAGATGAGCTCCTTTATGGTAAGAACAGTGTTTTATTTGTCCTCAGTGCATGGCATAAAGTAAACAATACTTTTTGAACATTAGACATGCGATAAAAATACTACATTGAGGTCAGGGGAAAAATAATTACCAGAGGTTCAGGTCTCCAGGTGAGCTTGACTCATCCATTAATTGTTAAGCACAGCAAATAATGCTTTTGTCAGATTTTCCTGGAGGTGGAGAATTGAAGGAAGTATTCGAGGTTGACAGATTCTAAACTTTAACTGTGTTTAAAAACAAAGTTTGAATTCTTAGAACAACTTATTGCATTTGATGAACTACAAATTCCAGGTATGTGGGCTTTGTGGTTACTGAACTCTATGGTTAACTGTAACACTAGTAGGACACATGATTTGTTCTGTTCAGGAGTTTTTCTACTGTCTTTTCTAATAGTTTTTTATGTAAGTCTTTCTTTAATGATGATAAGCTCGCTGAGGTCAACAATAATGCTGTTATCTACTCATATCTTTTAACATATTAGATCCAGAGTAGATATTCAGTGCATAATTGTTGGCTTGAATTTTCAGAATCTGTTTTAATTTTGCCCTTTACCAAACTTTTTACTACTCATCTAGTGTAGGTGGAAAACACAAAAGATTATATTTTTAGTGCTTAGTAGTAGTGACAAAGATATCAACGTTTATGGCCTGCTCCAAGACAAAAATCTTGATTTTTTTTTTTTCGTAGTCACATCTTTTTGTCTATTCTTTAGGTTGCTTGGTAGCCTGGCAGATTATTCGTGTAACCTTTCTCCTTGCTCTCCCACGTTTTTCTCTTTGGTCATTTTACTATTCCTCAAAACTTTACCAAAGAGACATAAGGTAGAAAGAGATGAAGTGTTGGGTCCTTTTTGCTATTGGTTCTGATTAAAAATTTGAAAAGGAAAAAATTGAAATTTAATTGTTAGAAAGATATTTTTAAATCATCTATGTTTAGACCATTCTCTTCTTGTTCTGTTGTCAGTAATTAAGTTTATTGATTAACAATTGATCAATTTAAACTTTCTCTTTGTTTAATTTTTTATACTATCTTCTCACCAGAAGTTATTAATGTTTTATATATAGTAGATCATTTCACTTCATAATATCCCTGTGCAACAGGTAGAGTAGAAGGAATTCCCACTTAATAGATGATCAGGAACTCAGGACAGCCAAGATAGTTAAAGATGTGACTAGGACACAGCTTTCAAATTTGCATGTCTTTCGGGCCCAGGGAAAGAGTTTGAGTAAGGAGTTGAGGAGGGGCAACAATGTGTATGCTCCATCTTTAATTTTTTTAAAAAAAGATTGTGTCAGCCAATTCAAGCTGCTTGTGGCCTCTTTGTAATCTCTAGATAAGATCCTATCTTTCTATCTTGTTCAGGGCTTTTTCTACCATATTTTCACTCTCTTGGAAATAAGTGCATTTTTGGAAAAGACAACCATAGGAAGCTGCCTTTTCTTTTGTCAGACATATTCCTTCGTGCTGGTGCTAAATTGCATACTTGTTATTGTCAAGTTCTCTTCGTTTATGTGCATAATGAGATAATAGGCTCTTTACATTAAATATTAAACAAATGGTGCTTGAATACTCTCATTTACAGTAGGTGTTTTAAAGTACACTCTTAGTATTGACAGAGAGGATACCTAACTGAATTTATAGTATATTTATCTAATAATGAGGAACAAAAGTAAGCTTAGAAATAGAGAATCACCCAGAGACATCAGTTAGGCACTCACGTTTTTGTATTCATAAGCGTCTACAAGTGAATTAAGAGCCATACAGATGCTCGTTCAGAACTTATTTTTACTTTGCATAGAATTTGAAGGAGTTTGGTGACCTAGCTTCCCAGTCTGTAGAATAGGAGCTACACGTATGGAAGCTATGGTGTAGAGGAGGAGCCTGCTAGAGGCAGGCCAGACAAGTCATAGTTACAACACTTTGATAGTAAAGGATAGAAGGTATGAAGAAGAAGAAGAAAAAAACTAGTTCGTGGCCAGGTAATGCAGTAGCAAATGAT